AACTTTCACATCATCCATAATAGGAATACCATAGTGATAAAATTTATAATTTCTTTGCAATTCTAGCAGGCTAAATGTAAAGGTAGCTAGTGAATTGGTCTTCTATCCCTTCATGTCGTAGATACATGGCGTCTACCTCATATGTCAAACGACCACGAACTAGTAGTATGAAATTAGTACCACTAGTGAACTTAATCTCGAACTTTCTGTCTTCCTTTTGAATTCCCCACTAAACAACAAGTTTAAAGGCTCTAATACACACGCAAGAAAAGGTATATATAGAACAATAAATTAACACTATCTAACTAATTCACACATACCATTTCAATTTTCTAAGAACATATAAACCCAAGTAGATATCAAAATTTAATCCTCGCATTAGTCATACTCTCACAAGTGGTTGAGCAATCGAAATGCACAAATTTTGTTAATGTTGTGGATCATAATTGTAGGAAATGAAAGTTAAAAAAGGAGGAAGAAGATGTGACAATTCATTAAAAAATGACCTCCTATTTATAGGCACTCTTAATATGCCATTTTCCCAAATTTTCCCGTTACGAAAATTTTCATGTTTGCTTTGCTCGTTAGAAATTCTTATCGTTGCTGTCTGGGGACATTGGAATTTTCTGATCTTTGAAAAACAAATTGGGTTTCGTTGCCTACTTGAGAAGGTTCTTACCAGGCTTATTACTCATCAATTATTTTGCTCTTTGGGGCCTCAATTAGTTTTTAGAGTCTGGTAATACTCAATTCGGGTCCCCATAATATGTCTTAATAATGTTCGAAAACTTCGATTGGGGCGTGTGCCTTAATTAGCTTATACAACAGTGGATTGATTTTATTTTCGTAAGAGCGGTATTTTGTAAAATATTTAAAAATATTATGAAAAAACCCCTCCTGCCTCCATGTACATAAGTACATAACTACATATCCATTTTGCTTTATCTCTTTACTAGCTTATAACCCGGCCTGTTGGCCGGAATGTTCATATTTTAATATTTATATTTTTATGTTATGTTTAAGTCTATTAATTCGTTTAAGTTTATTGAAAATCATTCAATCGAGATGCTACATAAAGAATGAATATATAGGTCGAACATTCAGGGAAATACCCTCCTCATTTAAGAATATAAAAATATATCATTAATCCCATTTTCATAATGATAATTGAGCCCCCATTAAAATGATATTGGTTAATAGATTGTCCAGAAATATATAATATAAAAGCTCATTTAAATTCCCACACGATCCATAGATAGTTTGAAACTGAAATGAAACCTCACAATCCCACATAAATGGTTCAAAGCTCTCCTCTATGAATAACATGCTACTAATAAAAAAGAAATGGATTTATAAAAAACAGAAATGAAGAGTTGTTGATTAAAGTAAATCATATGCTAACAACTCAACTAAAAAGAAACCATCAAAACTTGAGAGCAAATGACAAAATTAGAGTTATATCCAATGTACTAATAGACTCGATCAAAGTAGTGAGGCACACAATTAGACACTCCTTATCTACAGGTTCCAATAGTTTAAATAGTGAATTGACCTTAACTTTAGTAATTCAATCAATGATTCCTCGTTTTAACATAAACATAGGTTGTGGTAGTTGCAACAACCATAAGACCTAAAGATCCAATAGTTTCCACTCTTCGTTGTACAACCAAATTTTTATCCCCTCCATCTTCAATCTCTCGACGTATATGTTTTAAAACAAAATTCAATTTATAATCCTCCTTCTACAACTCCATTTATGCTACTTTGATGGACCTTCTCTCCATGAACCTGAATTTCTCTTTCAGTTGAGTTTCTTGTCAGCTTGATCTCCAACTCCTCAATCCTCTTTCTTGTATTTAGCCAACACATCTTCCTCGGGGCAGTTTTAATAAGCTCGTAAAACCAACACTCATCTTCAATTCAATCAATATGCTCTTCTCCTCCTTCTATGCCTTCACCTGATCCAGTTCACTTCCATGCCCTTCAATACCCTCACTATTTTCATTAATATCCTGATCATCTCCCACTTCTCCCTCTTCAACTGCTCCGATTTTGCTTCTATGTCTTTCAATACCCTCCTTGGTTCAATCACTACCCTGACCAACTGCCTCTTCATTGCCTTCACTTGTTGCAAACTACTTCCATGACTTTTTATACACCTTCCTCAAAATCACAATCAACTAACCAATATCAATTCATGGCCTTGGATCAGTTTTAAACTCTCTATGAACATCTCAATAGCAAAAAGTGTAAATCTAAATATTCTTTCAGTTAATCATGAACTTGAGTTTATCAAAATCTAATCCACTCCTTCTAAGTTGGAATTCCCATCCCCAAGCTCATTTTTTGGTTCATTTGATCCCACATAACCATGATATTATACCTCTAACTAAAATAAATGAAAGCATTTTACGAAAAGAAACCGAACCATGAACTTTACCTGATACCAAATCCAAACACAATTTCTTCCTCTCACCACTTCCCTTCCCAAACTAAATATCAACTTTTACTCCAAATTCACACCCCCAACTCCCAGTGTGTTGCATGAAAGCTTAATTTTAGCAATCATTATGATTGCAATTCGATATGAAATATTCGAACCAATAATATTTTTGTTGCAAATTTATGGTTATCGTCTATTTATAAGATAGATAAAATTTTAAATTAAGTACTAAACTATAATTAAAATAAAAAATATCAAAATTGAAGTATCAAAACACCAAATAAGTACTTACGGAATATTTATTGGGCTACCTAACTATTGAAAAGTTGTGATTTCATATTTTAGCTTCGTATATATTTTCAATTTAAAAAAATACAACAAATCTACATAGTCAGATTGATTTTAAACCTTCACTTTGTTTGAAGTGACCATGGTTCAAATCTCAATATGTCTATCTTTTTCTGTAAATAAATAAAAAATACAGATAATTGTGAAGACAAAAATGTCCTTCCTAATTTCCCTATCATTGTAGGAAATTTGAAAAGGGAGATTAAGTTTCAAATAATTAAATCATATACCCTAAATCTATAGAACTTAAACCCTAATATCACACATACTAAGAACATAATCAATGATCCTAATTCGCCAAGATGTATACAACATACCATATGCACTATAATAGGATTTAGAGAATTATGATATAGTGTTTAGTTACGTGATTAATCTATGGTCTTGATAATGTTATTTAACTAAGGAGATGCAATAACCCTCAATCCAACTAGCGTACCATAGAATTTCCAATGTATACACACATACCATTGTTTGTTAAATTTAGCCAATGATAATTTGCTCATTTGTTAATGGTATTTAGTCTTTCAATTCTATGCTTATAATTGTCAACCATTAGAGAAATTGTTAGCCAATGATTTTTGGTCATTCACTTATAGCATTAAAAATGTCTCGTTACAAAACCATGGATCACAAATGTCAGATTTTATGTTTTGAAATAAAATTTTGTATAGCGCTTTTGTAAACAATCCTTGTATTCCTACAAACTACAAAGTCATGTAACCTACATACACTCAAAATGTACTATTTGATTCTTGGTGAGGAATTGTGTGATGAGAGGAGCTCACTTAGTTGATTCACTTAGTTGATTCATAAAGCTAGGTATATCATGATGATTCACTTTGTAAATAATTATAGTTATTAATTCATTCGATGATTAATTGTTGAGGTGGATAAACATATGATTTTGATATATTTCAGTATTTTCTTTCTTTAATTCAAAAAATACATAAACATTGTTGTAGTCCAGTTGGTTAGGGATATTGACTATCAATCTGAAGGACTTGAGTTCAAGTCTTTGTAATAACATTTTTTTCTCGTAAGAAGATATTTAAGTTCTAAGTTGAACTTACAAATTTACCGCTAGCTACAATTAAGGAGAGTGCAAGGAATTTGAAATGCTCAAAATCTTCTGAAGAATGACTATATATTATAGAGGGATTTATCCTAACTTCTTAAGCCACAACCGTCCGTCCACAACCATCCGTCTAAAATTCGAAATCCCACCAAAGGTAATATAGCCTAGCGGTGAAATCGTTGGTTTGGTTGGCTTAGGATGTGAGAGGTCTTGAGTTTGATCCCCAGCGACGCTGTTTGTGTGTTTACTAAGGCATGCCTGAGTGCCGCGAACGAAGTCTCCCGATGTTGTGTCTTGTACATGTGCTCCCCAGATTTAGTAGATCACGCTGTCATAAAATGGCATGTGGGGTTGAGATTCTTGAGTTATAAAAAAAAAAAAATTCGAAATCCCGTATCCTTTCTCATCTTCCCCCTTTCATCAGTGACCTCCTATTTATAAGCATTCTTAGTTTTCTTTTCTGCCTCAAAAAGCTTAATCATTTTTTAAAGCACTTGGGGCCTGATTAACCAATTATGAATCTCATACATCTAGATCTGTCTCCTCTCATTTTCTCTTTGCATGCATATCTCTCCACTCTCTGATGCATGATTCAATAGGTGATTTAAAAGTTATTGATATTCATTTCGATTGTCGGAAAATGTGGTAATCTGTTATAAAAATATGATTGTGGGTGGAAATAGCAAGACACATCGCCTTAGCTTGTTTCAATGAAGAAATGACTCAAACTCGAATACAGAAACGAAAGTCGTAAAAAAATTGAGATGATATAAAATAAAATCCCGAGAAAAAGTACAATGGACTTTAAAGGGGAAAAACACACGTATGTATAAACGGTATTCAAAGCCCAACAAAAATAATAAAAAGTCCAAAAACAAGTCCAATCCAAAAGATTTACCTACAACGGACCACACACAAAAAAGTCCAAATACTGCTCTCAGGGAGCAATAATCAGTATTTTGCTTTATATATATATATATTAGCTGTATTGTACAACAACCATGTAAGCACTCTGGAAGAAAAGAAAAAAAAAACTGTGTTAGCATAAGAAGCAACGCCAAATAAGTCCATAAAATGACCCTATTCACTTCTGGCCATTCCATACTATAGCAGTAGCACAAATAATTGGGATTATTGTGATGATACATCGCAAGTGTGACCTAAATTCAACTCAAGCATGGGACTAATACGTTGGTCCATTTCTTCCAGCGACTGCTGTTTTGTTTCGATGAGGCAGCTACCGTAACACCATGACCCCAGCATGATTAGGATATTGAGAACCAAATACAAGAAAGGCCTAACCGCCACCACCTTTTTCTCAAGAAATGGGTTCAAATACTCTAGACCGAAGCTTATTAGTCTGTTCATCGTCACAATGATCCCAATTAATTGTGCTCTTACCTTAAACGGCAGTATTTCCGATGTATGTACCCAAGTCACCGGCCCCAAGCCGAGGGAAAACGACCCCAAAACTGCTGCTATGCTCCACTTGTTCATCTCTTCAATGGCTCTTGGGTTAATGAATTGGTATTTCACCGCAAAGAACGAAACGTTCATGACCAGCATCGACACTGTCCCGAAGCGCAAGCTATATCGAACGAGTTTCTTTCGACCGACAACGTCAGAAAGAAACATTTGTACGAGAATTGGTAGCAGCCTCCCAAACAAAGACGGAAGCTGCTCCATCAGATACTCCATCGGCATGAATGGATCATGGCGACGGAGCCTCGACAAGGACTCGGCCGTCAGGAGGTCGATCCCCATGGCCTGCTGAAGAAATTGCAGCGTCAAGACCGAGACAAGGATCTCCTTAAACAGGGCGAACAACTGGGCGGCGGAAATCGTGCCAAATTCCCAAGAACTGGATGTCTTCGGGGACTGCCTTGAAGTTCACGTCGCCCATCGTTGGCGGGATTCGAGCAGCTTCTCTCAGCGTCGAAAGTCTTTCTTCGACCTCATCGGACGTTTCTAATATTCGACCGAGTGCAGTTTTTGCATCTGCCACCCGAGCATGCCTGATCAGCCAGCAGCAGGGCGATTCTGGCATGAATACCATACCCACTCCCAAAATCAGGGATGGGACAGCTCCGACACTTAGCAATACCCGCCATTGTGAGCTTGCTGGTAGATCTCGGACTGCGGCACGCGTTATAACAGTCAACCATACCGCCAAGCTCCAGAACACCTGCAACAGATCATCACTTAGTGTTAATTGAGCACACGATTAATCATTTCATTTCCCCACTAAGTCATCATCATTATCCACATGATCATCATGTCACAATGAGCTTAATAATTAATGTTTGTTTTAGCTGCTAATTACTACTTGATTAAGTCATGAACTCTAGTATAATAGAACAAACACGATTGACATCTTTCCTATATCAACACATTCTCAAAATCCCGTCTAGACTTTTATTTGCTTAAGTGTCTATTTTTCATGTAGTTGTTATATTAAGGCACTGTAGAGTAGATCGATAGGGTCATAATCATGATTTGGTGGGCATTAGTTCAAATGTGATTTCAGTCTATATATGGGTTTAAAAGGTAGATAAAAAGACGACGACATTGTGATAGTTTTTCTTTTTTTTTTTTTTTGAGTCCAATAAAGCAATTGAGGGCAGCTTGCTTAAGTTGAAGAAAGCGATTATAAGAGTTTGGCAACCGATTTTTTGGATTTGACCAGCTACTGTTATGATACGGACATACAAGATTTTAACGTGGTATCTCTAATGTAAGAAAGTGGTTGTGCTCTTCAAAAATATACACCATAATCCGTTAGGTTACAGAGGGGGCTCCGCCGAACCCTATATAGCGTGAACACCTTTTCCTAATTACCATAGATTAACTGTGGATTTAATCGGCTACATGTTTGAAGGCAAAAAAAAAAAAAAAAAAAAAACTATTTGGGGTCAGTTTTCAGCCTCGTTTTCGATAATGAATTACGTACGTACCTCAGGAATGGTGTTTAGAAGGCCCCTCCGGCTAGGGGGAGCAATCTCCCCAATATAGAGAGGAGCGACGGGGAATCCAAGTCCTAATCCGGCGAGCGAAATCACCCGTCCCATCATCAAAACGCCATAAGAAACGGCCAGAGACATGATGAGGAACCCGAAGCTGGACAAGGCACCGGAAATCATGAGCGTCGAGCGGCGGCCGAGGTAGTCGGCTGAAAACCCCGACAAGAGACACGTCAGGAAAAATGTATACTTGGTGTCCTGTAGAAAGTGTTGCAACTGCTCCGCCGTCATGTTCAGATCATGCTCCATCGTTGTGGCCGTGGACAGAAGCTGCATGCAAGTCTCTGCACGTACCAAAGTTCTAAATAAATAAAAACTCAATAGAATTGTCTGCAACATCAGTGATCAATTAGTATATACTGTCTGGCCACGTACCGTATCCAAAACTGAAGAGCAAGGTGGCTTGAGAGACAATGATACACAAACACAAGATGATGGTGAACCTCTTTAGAGGAGCGGCGGTCGTCATATTTTGAATAGGCGATCGATAACAGTGTTTTAGGTTTGGGAACTTTTGCTTAGCTTCTTCTCATTTCATCACTCAGCTTATATAGCTGGAGAGTTGGTGGTTTACACAGAACAAGTAAAGAAGACAAACTTGGGAAAGAAAAAAGTACTGCCCAGAAAGTGGAAAAGAGGTAAATTGAGAAGTTGTGCATCCGTTTGGTAATTTGCAAGAGACAACTTCCCTCCAGCTCCCATCCGTCGTCGTCTTGGCAGCAGGGGAATCATCTTCTGAAGGATACGTCGTCGCCTTGGCTCTCTTTTGCTACATCTATGCATCCATGCTCTGTGAAACAAGAAAAGACAAGAGTCTTGACCTTGGTTTTTGCATGCCGCAGGAGGATCAGGCGATCAGCAAAGGCCCGGAGGTCATGGTCAAGCTCCCCGCATAGTTAACTGCTGCAAATCTTCTTATCATTCCTTTGGTCAAAAAACACAGAGAAGAAAGCACAGAATTGTCAATCAAGTCCTCTCGCCCTTTCATTAACTCAATAGTTCAGTTCATATTCATTCTATTCTGAACGAGAGTGATTTCCAAGACCCTAAGTTGCTCAACTCTTTACAAAAGAGGCATTTTGTTCCCATTCCAAAGCTTGGTCCAAATAGCAATCTAATTATGAGACTGAAATCGACGGCTTCCAGCGACAAAGACAAACCACGAAAACACCGAAATAAAAGAAGATGGAGCTACCGAAACTGAGTTTGAGCTATTTGGTGGAGAGACCATTTTAGAGCTTCTGTGGTAAGGTTATACCGAAGAAAAGAAATGGAGCAAATCAAACTCTTTAAAATGTATTATAAGTAGTTTAGATGATATTAGATTTAGATTAGATGTAACCCATCCCACAAGCTCCTCGACCACTCATTAAAAAAATTAACACGTCCCAAAAACTCGTCAACCGCCCATTGCTTATCCATCTCTCCCTCATCAGTGGAGCAAAATTGATGCCCTGTTTAATTGCCATTTCGTTTCCTTTTTTTTAGGCAACAAAAATTAAGAAACAAATAGAAATCTTAGCACCGTGAGATTGTCTTGTATTTGACTTTCAAGTCTTAGCACTTTGTTTTTTTTTTTTTTACGGGAATCTGCTCAAGCTTTATTAATCAGTTAACGCGGTTACATTGTCCTGCTGTAGCTGATTAACAATAAAATTTGGAGGGCTGTCAAGCCAGGTCCTCCTCTCGTTCCAACGTGTCTCAGCATGTGCCAACAAATGAGCCACTTCATTCGCCTCCCTATTGATATAATGCCACGAACTATCGCCGAAAGCTCTCAGGTATCCTCTGATACTCCGACAAACCACCCCCATCTCATCCTGGATAGCCTCCACTGCGTGTAGCTTGTGGGTGAGGGTCATGTTGTCCGTCTCGAGAATGACGTTGCGGAAGTGGAACTGGTAAGCAAGTTGTGCCCCCATTTCTGCTACATATGCTTCTGCTGCCTCTGCCGTCCAGACACCCCTCATTCTTTTTGCTGCTGCCAAGAGGAAGACCCCATTAGAGTCTCTAATCACCGCCCCTAGACCTGCTCCCCCATCAGCTAGGTTGCGCGCATCCGTACAGACTGAGATATGGCCTGCAGTCGGTAGTCTCCAAGGTTGTTTCGCCAGGTGAGACTTAGAAACTATCTCAGTATGCTGGTGTAGCTTGTACTCCGCTAGCAAGAGCTTCACACGGATTGGTATCTCCTCTTCGGGTAGTTTAGCTCCATTGAACAAGTGAGCGTTTCTCTCCTTCCAAAGATACCAAAGAAGCACACACCATTCTTCGATCTTCTCCTTGTCCCCTAAACCTAGAACAGTCGCACACCAAGTATAGCATGAGTTATTTCCTTTTGCCTCAAACAGCCCAACTACCTATGTACTTCTCCAGATTCTCGAAACCCAAGAACATCCCGAAAAGATGTGGGTTTGAGTCTCCCGCTGGTCACAGAACGGGCAATTCTCGCTTCTTCTCGGGTTCCGCTTACTGACCACCACCCCCGTTGGGAGGATTTCCCTAGCAAAACGCCACATAAAATGTCTCACTTTGGGTTGTACCTCAAGACTCCATAGCTGTTTCCAAAGCTTCACTTCCCCTGTTGGTATCACCCCATGTTTTGCTTTGAATCCACTGAGCCAGCTTTTGTACCCATCTCTCACTGTATATGCCCCTGTGCAGCTATCATGCCAAATTAGCTTATCAAGCTCTCCATTTCCCCGCAACGGAATTTGGCGGATTGCTGAGGCAACATCCGTCGTGAAGCATGCTTCCAGCAGAGCGTCGTCCCACCCATTAGTTTCGGCATCAATTAACTCCTTCACATAGGCATCTACCGGGAGTCCTCTAGGCGCAGATGTCACGAACTGATGCTCCAAGCCCGGGACCCATCGGTCGCCCCGGATCTTCACATTTTTCCCATTACCTATCCTCCAACGAAGACCATTAATCAGCAGCTCCTGCGCGGCAAGAAGGCTTCGCCAAACAAAACTTGGCTGCTATCCGATCGTTGCATCCAGAATTGACGCTCTCTTATGATACTTGGCCTTGAGTATCCTTGCAATGAGAGAGTCTGGTCGCTGCATCAGGTTCCAGAGCTGTTTTGCGAGCATGGCCTCGTTGAAACCTTTTAGATCCCGGAAACCCATCCCGCCTTCCTCCTTTGGGCTCACCATTTCTTCTCTCCTCAGCCCATGAGCACGCCTTTCCTCTCCTTTTTGACCCCACCAAAAGTTCATTATCAGACTGTGGAATTCATCAACTGTGCCATCGGGAACTTTGAACACAGACATCGCATAAGAGAACTGAGCCTGCGCCACTGATTTGATCAAAACCTCTCGCGCTGCCACCGAAAGAGTGCGCTCTTTCCAACCGTTAAGCTTCTTCTTAGTTCTTTCCTTCAGCTCCTCAAACAGTTCCTTCTTTGACCTGCCCGCCTCTATAGCTAGCCCGAGATACTTGTTGTGCTTAAGCACTCGCTTCATTCCCAAAACCCCTCCTATCTCCAGCTTCCTGTGAGTTGTAACATCAGCACTGAAGGAAACATTGGACTTCTCAAAATTGACCTTCAGGCCCGACTCTTTTTCATAGTCGTTTAGGATTTTCTTGAGCTCCTCACTCTCCTGCACTGTAGACCTGACAAAAAATATACTATCGTCAGCAAAAAACAGGTGTGACACAATCGGGGTCCTCGAGCCGGCTGAATCCCGTGGATTCACTTCTCTCTAACTGCCTTGGAGGTATACGCAGATAGTCCCTCCGCACAAAGGAGAAACAGATACGGTGACAGAGGATCCCCTTGCCGGAGCCCTCAACCCGGGAAAATATGGGGGGATTGGTGCCCATTCACAAGAACATAATAGGTAACCGATCGCACACACATCATAATTACCTCCACCCATTTCTCCTCAAAACCCATCCGCCTCATAACCCCTGCTAGGAAGTGCCACTCCAGCCTGTCATATGCTTTTGCCATATCAATCTTAGCCGCCAGAAAACCTGGGCCTTTTGATTTCTTCTTTTCTTCATCGAGTGGAAGCACTCGAAAGCTGCCATAACATTATCCGTGATAAAACGCCCTGGGACAAAGGCACTCTGCTCCTGTGACACGACTTTATCGAGAAGCGGCTTCAGCCTGTTAGCTAAAACCTTCGCCGCAATTTTGTACAGGACGTTACACAGGCTTATAGGTCTGAACTCCTTCGGGTTAGATGGTTGTTTCACCTTGGGGATCAGAGCTATTAGCGTGTGATTCAGCTCATCGGGCATTTCAGCCCTCTCAATTATGTTCTTAACTGTTTGTACCACGTCATCCCCAACAATATCCCAGAACTTGCGAAAAAAGAAGACCGAGAGGCCGTCTGGTCCGGGCCCCTTTCTTCTTCCCATTTGTTTCAACGCACCAAAGACCTCATCCCTTTCTACTGGTCGCAGGAGGAGGTCATTATCCTCCCTGCTAATTGACCTCGGGATCGCATCCAGTACAGGAGTCGTCGGCGGGGCTGGACCAGCTTCAAATAGCAGCTCGTAATACTTGTGAAAGCACTCAAAAAGCTGTTTCTTGCCTGTGTACCATCTCCCTGAATCATCCCTAAGCTTCCTTATCGTGTTTCTTTTCTTTCGGGCCGTGGCCTTCTTATGAAAATAGTTTGTATTCTTATCGCCACCTTGAAGCCAATCCGAACGGGACCTTTGTTTCCAGTAACTCTCTTCATTATCTTCGAGTTTGGCTAGTTCTTCTTCAAGCTTTCAGATTTGTTCTTCCACCCTAGGAGTTCGACAGACCTTCTCAAGTGCACGTAATGCTCTTTTAATTTTTGCTTTTTGCCGACCAAAATTTGGGAAGGTGGCACTGCTCCAAATATCCAGTTTCCCCCTGCATCCATTTATTTTGCTCATAATATCAGCGGCACCAGGCTCATTCCAAGCCCAGAATGGGTCAGAGCGAAAGTGCCAACCCCATTTAGGTTCCTCACCCTCTTCTCCACGTGAGTCGCATATAATCGGTCGATGATCCGACCTTGTTTTGTCCAAATGTCTAACACAGGCGTTGGGGAAATTGTCCAACCAGCTATCCGACCCCACAAACCTGTCTAGTCGTTCCTCGATGTATCCTCCCTCCATTCTTCTGTTTTCCCAAGTAAAAGGGTAACCTTCAAAACCCATGTCCCGAAGCCCCGAGTCAGTGAGACTGTTGCGAAAGGCCTCCATTTCGACCTCGGCTCTTACCTGACCTCCTCGCTTCTCTGCCATCGAAAGAACCTCGTTGTAGTGTCCCCCCCCCCCCCCCCCACACACATAACCAAGGTCCATCCCACTGAGTGGAGAGCGCCCGTAGGAGCTCCCACGTATTAACTTTTTCCCCAGTGGCCGACCAACCATGCATACCCGTAAATCTCCAGCAAAGATTACCTTCCTCCACTATTTTCGTATCGATATAATGGGCATCAGTTTTCATTACCGTCAAATCTACTTCCTCATTCCACCAGATACACAAACCCCCAGCTCGACCACCCCTGGAAAGGTCAGTTGGCCAACAATCACCTCCGTGGAACCCAAGTTCTTGTTGGGTCACTTCATTCTCCTCTTTTGTTTGTTTAGTCTCCATTAAGAAAACCACAAATAGCAAGAGGAGAAAGATTAGATTTAACTCAAATGTGACATGTTTTCTACTAGTTGATGTTTGGGTTAATATTTTATTTTGGTCTAAATTATACACAAATAGTCTATTTTGACTCGTAGTTTTAAAAATTATTATCTTGGCCTCAACTCTACGCCATATAATCTAATTTGGACTTATACGTGAATTTTTGTCAAATTAGACGGTCAATAATGTTGACTTTTAACACATCAGCATGCTTTGCTAAGGTGGATGCCACCTACACAATAAAAATCAATATAATAAAAATTTAATAAAATCAAAAAATCAGCTACCATTCAAACTAAAAAAATAAAATAAATTCCCCCTTCCTCACCCTCTCTCCCCACACTCTGCCCCTCTAAACCCTCGCCGCCCTCATCACGGCGTGATTCCTCTCCCCCGCCCCTCGTAGCTCCGGCTCCAGCAACCCCCTGAAGGCGTTATTGAGGATTGACCGGTTCATGAGCCAGTAGCAGATGGGCGGGCCGGGATTGTCGCCGCCAACTTGCAGATCCAAGTGCGGGGTTTGTGCACCCTGTAGGCCAGTTCACTACCCGGAGAGTTTGCGATTCCAGTGGGGCAACAAGCTCTTCATGCCCTGAAATCCCATAAAACAAATACAAGATTAAAAAGTACAGAAAACAATTGGGGGAAAGAGGTTCTCTCTTATACTATTTTAATGCATGGATTTCCTTTTTGAGAGTTGGGGGTTGCGTCAGGGGCGGACCCAGGGGGTTTAGGGGGTGTCTTCGGAAAACGATTATCCAACCCTGGTGGTAATTTATGTATGAACAAAAAAAATATAATTGATAGTGAGGGACACCCCTTAAATTTGAAAAAATGATTATCATACTGTCATTTGTGTAAAGAAATATAAGTGGTAGGTTGGATAATTCAAATCTAGAACACTATTATTATTAATAAACTTAATTTCCGTTGAGCTAAACTCATTTGTTGTTCGATTTTGAACAATGTGTAATAGTAAAATGGCATTCCGTATCTCTAATTATTTTAGAAACCTAACAATTAAACTAATTTCAAGCAATCCTTAATTTGTATTGATTTTATGATTGTACGACAAGTGTTGATAGAGTCTTTCAGCTTTGGATTGCATCAAGAACAAGTTTACAAATTGAATATGCGATAAGTTCGTGAATGATTGTCTAGTAGTGTATATAGAGACAATTATTTTAACACTATAGACACCAACTGTATTCTACAATTATTTTCGAATATGAAAACACATCATGGATTTTTTTAACCTGTACGAGTAAGGTATTTTCATATTTACAATTTTATTTTTATTAATTATTTTTATTTTTATTTAATTTATTTTTTAAAATAGGACACCCCTATGAAAAATTTATGGGTCCGCCACTGGGTTGCGTTGTCTGCTACTGGTTAGCTGGAAATGGAGATGGACAGGCTCTGTTTTGTGGGTGGGGCGAAGTATACTTATCTACCCTCTGCTTTCTACTTTGTGTTCGGTGAGGAGAGAGTCGGAGAAGATAAGGGAATCAGTGTCTCTCAAACCCTTGCGCCGATGCTAAGTTCGGAGAAGACAAGAGAATTTTGTTTTATTTGTTATTATTTTTGTTATTTTTACGGATTTTTTTTGTTAAACGTAATAATTCTAAATATTAGAAAAAATCATTTGAATTCGAATTTTTTAATTTTTGGGGTGACGAGGCAATGACATGTTTCGTTGACCATTCAACTTAATGGTCAACCCACGTATCGGGCCAAATTTGACTATATGGTATATAGTTGAGGCCAGAATATCAATTTCTAAAACCACGGGCCAAAATAGACAATTAGTTTATAATTCGGGCCAAAATAAGGTATTAACCCTTTATCTTTTTATTCCATTCATATCTACAACTTGTTTTGAGTTTTGTTTTGTGATTAGCATTTAGATTCTACTCATATGTGACCTATTTTCTATACTAAGGACTGAGGCTAGATCAAAATTGAAGGATGAGAATTTTGAAGGAAATGCGGCATATTGTTTTGACCTTGATCGTGATTACCGGATACGGCAGAAGAAATTAAGTTGCATTATGTTTTTTTTCTCTAATAGACTACTAGTAGATTTGGTGGCTTGATTGTTCGTTCGGAGGATTTTATCTCACAAAATTGGTGTTTAGAATCTAAATGATGCATTATGTCGAGAGGTGATATTTGACTTATTTGGATTTTGTAATGTGGTATTGGAATTCCAATTATCATATTTAGCCGAAAATTATTTTACCCAAGGTGAATTGCAAGTTCGGTCACTCGAATTCTAATTTTGTTTCATGTTTGTCATTAATTTTTTTCCCTTTCTTATTTGTCATCAACATTAAACACTTATGTCAACCACGATCACTCTCCGTTCAACTTCATTATCTTCGTACTACGTGGTAGTCAACATTAACATTTCACTATTCAATTGATGAGCTGTCAATTAAAAATAATTATATAATCACAATTAAAAAATATAAAATAACTGTCTACCCACCTTTTCCATTGACCCTTCCTAAACGGCTAAACCCATCTCCTCGGATTCCCCTGCCTCCACCGTATTATAGAGTCCGAGTGGGAGTAGGAATTCCTAGTCCGAGCTGCCAACGGACTTGCTTTTCCTTTACCGCACCGGAAACCAGATCGAAGAAAGGAAACCACAGAAATTCAGACGATCCCCACTCCCTATAAACTATAAAGAGTGTTTTCTACATCACTCCCTTGCTCTCATCCAATTACAAAGTAAGCCATCCTCTCCGCCTGTTTCCGTTTTTATTCTTTGCCGGCACAAGCTTCTCTGACAATCCCGCAAATACGTACACTCCTCCAAACAAAACAGTAATTACTGAAAATGTCGACAGTGGCGGCATCCGCAAGGGCAGAAACAGGAAGTCACGATTCTCATAGTGATACCACCACCGCAACCAGCATCGGCGTCAACAACCAAACCCACTACGACATATTCGTTTCCCTCCTCCCCGCCGGCGGCCCTCCGACACCACTCCCAAACGACTCCACCTCTTCCCAACTACTCTTCGTCACCCAGGTCGATCGCATCTACCAGCCCCGCGGCACCACAACACCGCCGTCAGCGAAATCATCATCAACATTGCCCAGGCAGATCTTGGTGGAATCACATCGCTCCAGATTCACAATCCCCACCGACGACGACTCCTTCGGCATCGAGTCCGTCTCCAAGAAGGTGATGTGTTCGAGTTTGAACATCCCCTTCCCGTTGGAGAACAACATCCACTGGAGATCGCTACCGTCTTCGCCGTCGTGGACCAGAGTAAATACCAGAGCAGAGTTGGCCTCCCGCATCGTTAAAACCGCGCACGGAGTCATGGCAGGAACCAAACGCCGTTACGGTGACATCGACGAAGCGAACAAAGTGGAGGTGAAGATGGTGATGAACATTGCGAAGAAGATCAGAGTTGGAGAGGCAGAGTATAAGCAGATATGCAGGGCGCAGCAAGAGGGACAGGCAATGGAGGACCTGGAGAAGTTTCTGATCCGCTGCCAAGATCATCACGCTGCTTCTTCACGAGGAAAATCGGGATTCGAGAGGATGTCGGTGGACGAACTGAAGCGTGTGGCCGAGGAGCACGTGATTAGGGTTAGCAATGGCGTGGTGATGAGTATGTCGGATCGAGGCTCGATGATCGATTCGGTGGCTTGGAGAGCTTGGAATGAGTGGGGACGATTGCTGGTTTCCAGACTCGGGAATGCTCTGGTGGAAGTGGAGGCGACTTCGAGTAGTGGTGGTGGGGAGTGCAGCATCTGCTTGGCTCCGAAAGTGAATTCAGTGGTGCGATTGCCTGATTGCGTGCACAGTTTTCACAGGGACTGCGTTCTTCGGTGGCTTGTTCACCACACGCCCAACTGTCCTCTGTGCCGCTCCTCTGCTTTACCATCTTTGTACCGCCGTTAGATGTTGCTTATGTTTATGTTTATGATTCTGATTGAAATGTAATATGTAAGGAATGCTACTGAGTTTTGAAAAATGGTCAATGTTGGATTACGTTGTTCAAAGGGTCAATGTTGTTCATAGTGTCATGACTGTTCATGTGGTGGTCTTCAATTAAGACTTACAATAGTAGGGATTTCTGAGTAGCATCGCTTATATGGGTACATAGTTACAAAACTTGTAAAATCCCCTCTTGCACATAACATTAATCTCAAATGGAAATAAACTCAGATATCATATATGAACCAGACAAATTAATTTTAAAATTAAATTACCCTTGCACTTGCAGTGAATTTTTCACTATCAACCCTCCAAAACCTTTTTTCTTTCTATGGTTCTTCTACTGCTCTGTTTAGCAACTAAATTACTGCTAAAAACAAACCAGAGTTTCCATACACATGATCAACTGAGCTAAACTTGTAGCATTACAGTTGAGCTTCAAGCTTTCCTATTACTAAATACAGCTTGCATATAAGAAACGAAAGAAGGATAGTTAAGAATTAAGTTACTAACAAAAATAACATTTGATCCAGAGAAACCATCACAAACAAAAACATTCGATCCAGATAAGCTACAATGAACCACGATGGTTAATTATCTCCGATTTAATGTTGGTACAACACTATAATTTTTTTTTATCAA